GTCGGGTGCCACGTGGGTCTAATGAGCTATGACCTTAAGTATTCATTATACTTAGGTCACACCGCCCACCCTTCAATAGCGCCGATCATGACTAACTTCGCCAATTATCACGGTAACTTTTAATTTGATGTTAGCAACACAATCACAATTATTTTAGCAAGTGATTTTGATCGCGAAGCGTTATGATTTGAAAGGTATTTTATAAATCAACTAGCGGCCCGCCCTCGCTTCGCTTCGGTGTAGAGCTGAAGTGTAGACTACAGTTTTTCTTTTCAGGCTTGTATTATACGCAATGAAATTCATATATGATTCTTCTTATACCTGCATGCAAAGTCTCAGCCCGATCGGTTTAAAATTGACAAAGTTTCATACAAACTTTCATTCCCTATTTTATCCCCTTGGGGGTAGAATACATCAAAATCCTTTCTTAGCGGATGTCTACGTCATAACATCTACGTGTATGCCAAATTTCAGCCCGATCCGTCAAGAGGTTTGGGCTGTGCGTTGATAGATCACTATGTCAGTCATTCAGTCACCTTTGAGTTTTATATATATGTATAAAGACTAGTTGACCCAGCGTACTTCATACGGGTTAAAATAATTTGCAAAAAATGACGGACCCGTGTCTACCGTACCAAAAGGGACGAACGACAAATGTTTGACAGGAAAGAAGATAGAATAGTTTATTATATGGGAAAATTCAATTGACGTTTTTACTATTTTCCTCGCAATTTTTCCATATTTTCTCACCTTTTAAACCTTCCCTAGACCTCCTCGAACATTTCAAGACTAAGATATGATAAATCCGTTCAGCCGTTCTCAAGTTTTAGCGAGACTAACAAACAGTAATTGATTTTTATATCTTCTATATATATAAAACTCATAGGTGACTGACTGACACAGTGATCTATCAACGTACAGCCCAAACCACTGGACGGATCGGGCTGAAATTTGGCATACACATAGATGTTATGACGTAGGCATCCGCTAAGAAAGGATTTTGATGTATTCTGCCCCCAAGGGGATAAAATAGGGAATGAAAGTTTGTATGAAACTTTGTCAATTTTAAACTGATCGGGCTGAGACTTCGCATGCAGGTATAAGAAGAATCATAGATGAATGTCATTGTGTATAATACAAGCCTGAGAACAAAAACTGTAGTCTACACTTAAGCTCTACACCGAAGCGAAGCGAGGGTGGGCCGCTAGTTACAACATATAATTAATAAATAATCTTACATTGTTAGTATAGGAAGCTTCAGTTACAATATTATTGTTATGGCCCCTTTGGGTTCTCGCCGTCCCCAAACACGGTGACACACTAAAGGTCACTTGCGACCAACAGCATACACAATAAAAAAAATATCAAATGACTTTTCTGCCACTTGAGCGACTTAATCTAAGGTTACATTAAAGTAATTAACTTGGCTGTTTTACATACTTAAATAACTTCAAATCAAATTAAACTACAAGGCTGTTAAAGAAATCGCTACCTAATAAACTGGGTACAAGTATTCATACGTAACAGTAGGTTTTCATAATCAACCTTCAGTACAATGTTAGGAAAATCTATTTCCGGTTTTAGCAGCGTTGGTTACGCCCACGATTTTATTTATTTGTCTGATAAAAATTATGAGGAGTCTGGTGTGACTGGTGAAACGACCATAGACAATGAAGCATGCGCAGTAGCAATAGGGTATTTGACAAGTTTTAGGTAACGCTCTCACGTTATTGACTAATGTTTACGGAGCCTGTAAATGGATATTCATCATTCTGTTGTGTATTTCAGTGAAAATAACCAAATCAACAACTTCATTTTCTCTCCTCCAAGTTGCCGCGAAAACGTTTCTCTGGACAATATGGCGTCTTACTAGCGTGTGACGTCACACGACTGTTATTAAAACGTCAAACGATACAATGTAATGTCACTTTAACCGGAAGTTCACACGCAAGTAACTTCATTTTAGGCTCCGCCAATCCCAAGCGATTTGGGTCACGTGACAATAGATAAGAAAACTATTATCTTTTTCGTGGGTTTTTAGTAAAATTATTAATGTTTTTTTTGTGACAGATGCTAACAATTAGCACTTTATTTTTAATACTGTCAAATACCCTATTTTGCATACAAAACCGGCTGCTGCGCAAGATTATTTCTGTGTGGGTATGCTTAAGAATTTGGCTGCGACAGTAAATCTATGGCCGAGACCCACACCTAGGATCTGTTTCAGTTTTTAGTACAATTTCTTCATATTTTTTGCATAAAATCCGTATTTTTTTTTACTTTTTTTAAGTGAATCTTCTGTTCGGACGGGGTGTAAATGGAAAAATCCTATGGAAAAGATGAAACGGAAATACGTCACTAGCGTCACATGACTATATATATATATTACTAGCTGTCCCAGCGAACTTCGTACCGCCATAAAAAAATAGGGGTTGGTGGTAGAAGGGTGAAAATTTAGGGTTGTATGTATTTGTGTATGATGTATCATAAAAAAATTAAAAAAAATATATCTAAAATTGAAAAAAAAAATTTAGGGGTGGATTACCCTTAACATTTAGGGGGATGAAAAATAGATGCTGTCCGATTCTCAGACCTACCCAATAATATGCACACAAAATTTCATGAGAATCGGGAAAGCCGTTTCGGAGGAGTTTAACCACAAACACCGCGACACGAGAATTTTATATATTAGATATATACGAGTATATGTGTACATATGTGTGTGTAGAATGTGCGTGCGCAGCTCTTCCCGACGAGCATGAAAGTTGAAGGGTGACTCGGCGAATGCTGAAACGCTACGAGCGTCACAAATATATATATATATGTATATATATATATATATATATATGTGACGTAAATATAAATAAATAAATATTTCCGACACTCACACCAATTAGCCTAGCCCCAAAGTAAGCACTATAAGGCTTGTGTTATGGAATGCTAGGGTAACGGATAGAATACATATACTGTACATATATAAGTATATTTATATAAATACATAATAAACATCCATGACTGGAGTACAAATGCTCATATTCATCACTCAAACATCTGCCCCCACCGGGATTCGAACCCGAGACCTCTCGAGTCGGCGACAGCCATGAAACCCGGCGTACAAACCACTCGGCCACGGAGGTCGTCTAATATATATATATCATATACATATATATATAAGTGATGCGTGCGCTGCTCCATTTCCCTATGCCTTATGCACCGCCTAATGTGAGGTTATTTAAGAAAAGAAGTTTCACTTCAGATGTGTGGTCCGTGCACACTATTCTTTTAGGTAATCTGTATTTTTATGCATTTATTTCGGTTGCCAGCATAGATTAAAAACTTCATGGTTGCCAGTTCATAAAAAAGGAACAACACATGTGCACTAAATTTTGAACCTTGATTAGGATATGTAACCAAAAATACCAGGGCGACATGACCTTAGAACAAGTGATCTTTGTTACATAAAATTTGCCTTGGATCCTTCTTCCCAAGTCTCGCATCATTGACAGTAGTATTGTTATTAAATCAGAATAAATAATTTATAATTAGAAAGGGCGACTTCGTCTGGCTGCATTTGGTACTAATTTAATCAACGCCCATGACATAGTTTTCGCGTATTAATTTTGCATGATACGGAACTTTGATACTAATAACATTACACATTACAAGAGTTCATGGCAATGAGGTCTGTTGAGATTTAGATTCTGTTATTTTGGACTGTAATCGCTTGCACCCGATCTATTTAATTGTATAGATTTCCTTCTGAATTTAAAGATTGAATTCAGGCTAACATCGCTTTAATACGTTATTAGTTTATTTAGATGTACTGTCAGATACTTTCCGATTAATATAAGGACACGAAGGTGATAGATTTTATAGCGTTCTCGAAAATTTTATTAGAATCATAGTGGGAACATCTTCGATCATATTAAAACCCTTTTCCGGTAATATTCGAATATTTACAATGGGTAAATTATTGGAAAGGACACCTTCGATTTTTACCCAATTTTGTACCTTGGTACAAATTCTCTCAAAAAATATCTAAAATTATACTTAAAAAGACTATCTCATAAAAATCTCTATGAAAAAATCTGATTCCAAATTGGGAATCTGCGTACAAAGAAACGATATTACTTACAAGCAATTTTTTTTCTTTCTTATTTAGACGCAATTTTGGACGCAATACAAATAGTTTAGTTGACTGAAAGATGCCAGATTGGTTGAAATTAATTTCTTTGCTTGTGATTGGTTGTATCAAAAATCACGTGATTTCCGTAGCTAATTGCTACCAACATAAGGATGCACATTTACCACAATATACATTTTTTTATTTAAGATTCTCCCTTTTCAGGGAAGGCACAGGGAACAATGCCCATACAGCCAAGTCTTAAGTTATTTCAATCTTCTTTTTTTTACATTAGAATGTTGGTGTGCCTCATTCTAATGTTACTTGGAGTGTGTGGCACGAAATGCTACAAGTTGGCTGTTCCAAAAAGCTTCTGTGAGGTAGTCAACACTACAATAAAGTTCTCACGTCAACTTGACCGGAATAGCGTATATTTTATAGATTCCACTAATTCTTCAGTTGCGCAGACAGTTTTAACACAAAATCACACCAAATTTATTTCACAATATCCACAACGAATTTAAGAATTATTAGAATAAGACACTAACCACACTCGATGAAATCCCGCCAAAAACTCCTCCATAATATACATTATTGTCTGTGTTGCCATTAATTTAAATGTATAAACGACATTGTTGTGTTACAAGTTGAATAATAAACTCCGTTTATATTTTTGATGAATTCTTGCGTATTTTTCCACAGATTTATAAATGCATGATAATGCTTGAGGTACAAATTGCGTAGATTTGTATGGAGAAAAAATTGGATCCTTTTGATTTTATTACTAGCAATACATAAGTATCACGAAATAGAGTGTCAATATTATTATTTCTTGCCAACCTTATCAAAATAACGTCTTTTTTCCATTTCTCCCCAGACCCGCAACCGATGTAGTGCCCAGGGTATCAAAATGGGCCACAAGCAGTACCTGGCGGTGAGCCAGAGCGCTCGCAGCCGCCTCTTCGGTCTGCCAGGGGACAAAACACTGCCGCTAAACATGCTGATCTCACAGCAGGGCAAGATCAATCGTGGTAAGTGCGCTTTTTTATACAAAATGGGCTAATATGAAGATCGATAACAAATTCCCTTCGCGGTAGATTTTGTTATACAAAATTGACAAATTACATACCAGGGGACAAAACATTGCCGCTCACAGCACGGCAAGGTCAATCGTGGTAAGTGCGCTTTCTTACACAAAATGGGCTAATATGAAGGTGAAATCGCGGTAACAAATTCCCTTCGCGGTCGACTTGTTAAACAAAATTGACAAATTACATGCCAGGGGACAGAACCTTGCCGCTTAATATGCTCATCTCACAGCAGGGCAAGATCAATCGTGGTAAGTGCGCTTTCTTACACAAAATTGAATAATTTGTCGGAAAAATCACGAGATAAAATTCACTTCGTGGTCGACTGCCTTACACAAAATGGACAAATTAGATGCCAGGGGACAAGACGCCTCTAAACACGCTGATCTCACAGCAGGGCCAAATTAATCGCGGAGATTTCTTTATCATGTTCAGTAGGAATTAAACCTATAAAACGTCTACTGCGCAAGTCTATTTGTCTATGGGTTTGTTCAAGAAGTTTCCAGGGTACGCATAGCCGACTACGCGTACCCTGGAATGTCAAAGTCATGGTATGTACCCTTACCAGTGCCGGTTAAGCTTGTTCACGAGTACGGTTTGTACCGACCAGGCGCGGTCGGAAGGGGGGGGGGGGGGGTCACAGGGGACATGACTCCCCCCCCCCCCCCCCCCAAATCTAAGGTCATTCTTGACATTTGGTACAGAGTAACGTCTTATAGTACAGATAAAGAAAAAATTGCGAAAACCGTGAATTTTTAGTTACATCATATTTTTGAAAATTCAGGTGTGTACGGAACCCTCGGTGCGCGAGTTCGACTCGCTCTTGGCCGATTTTTTTATTAGTGTAATGAGTGACCCCCTCCAAAATTTCAGGCTGCGACCGCGCCTGGAGCTCTACTCTCTTTCTCCGAAACGAAATTTCGGCAACGAACGAATTTTAAACGAAATTTAGCCAGTGACTACTCTATTTCTTCTTCGAACACGCACATAAAGTTCGGAATCACAGACAATTATTGTGAACGAATGGAATGAGTTATGTTTTTGAGTTCTTTTTGTCTACACTATTTGGATAACGTTTTTTACTTCAAAACAATATTACTTTATGACAAAATTTTTGATTACATTAAAACAACCTCCTTTGACAGTGTTAGCCGACTAATTGGTAGAGTTGATGCAATGGAATGTATGTCAACCTAAATTTGTCGTGTAACACTTTGAAGTATTGGCAATACATTAATAAACAATATTCTGATTTATTTGTAATTTTTTCATACTAAAAAGCAGCCTTAATTAAAAATACTCTAGTAGTAATTTTAGGTTTAATTTAAACAAAACTCCCAAAACGAAAATGAAAAGGTAACACTTTTCATTTCGTCAATTTGAGGTTAAAATTTCGAACAATTATCTGTCAAATTCAACTTTTAGTTCAAAAATTTTGTGAATTAGAGTAGGCTTGGAGAATTTAAATGTCAAACCATTTTCGGACGAACGAATTTTCGAAATGAAATAGAAACAGAGTAAGGAACGTGCGAAATTTCGATCGAAATTTCGTTTTTCGTTAAATTAGAGTAGGCCTCCTGGTACCGACCGACCCCAAACCTTCGCTAGAGCCGCCCGCCGGTGTCGTTAAGTGTCGCCGCACACGGGCCACTGACCACAACCACAAAACGCCGCCCCCGCCATACTTCTTGTAGTTTTGATACATTTTATATGGACTCTATGGACCACACACGGCACGCCGGTGGCCGCCACACGCTACAAATCGTCGTTGCTCGCTTCTTGTGGCCCGCACCGGCCACTTAATGCGCCGATACAAAATGTCGCCACACGTCACTCGCGAAATTCCCCACCCCTCTCTCCCTTACCTTAAGGGCCCCATATACGGAACGATTCGTTGTTGCGATCGATCTGAAGGAAATCGTCAACGATCGATCGTTCAGAAATGCCACTAAATACACGAAACACTGTCGATCGATCGTTTACGATATTCTTGATTGCATGGGATTTGGTTGCGATTTGCGATATCGTCTTCGATTAAGTAAATCGTTAACGATCTTGACATACACTGTCGATCCATCGTTTCAATCGGTCTGAAACGACGGATCGTACAGATCAATCGTACCGTATATGGGACACTGACGATCGATCGTTTACGATATTCATGATTGCATGGGTTTTTGTTGCGATCCCGATATCGTCTGCGATTAAGTAAATCGTTAACGATCTTGACATACACTGTCGATCCATCGTTTCGATTGGTCTGAAACGACGGATCGTAAAGATCAATCGTTCCGTATATGGGCTCCTTTAGTCGGCCGCTGTCGCGCGCTTCTGCCACTTTAGTAGCCGCTTCTAGCTTCTCGTGGCGGCATTTGTGGCTGTGGCGTGTGGCCTGTGTGCGGCGACACTAACAAACCTCTATAGTGTATCGTACTTAACTGACTATCGGGTCTAAGTTCTAAGACACGGTGTGAAAGCGTGCCTGGACCCGAGTGGAAATCGTCTTGTTACTCGTAGTTCGCAGTGATATTATAGTAAACGGATTCTCGAATTTGAAATAGCTTACAAAAGGCTTGTACTTGATGATATCCTGCTTTTTGTAATAGTTTTTTTCCTCCTAATTTTTAATAATTAATCTTACCGATATCACTCTGTTTTTGCTACAACTATTTTGTCAGAGTTACGTAATGAAATAATGTTTGCTAATACTTGTAAAAAAGTGCGCTGTCGCAATAAAAACATAAGGACTTGCATGGTTTTAGAGTTCTGTACCTCAAAAAAAACTGGGCAAGTGCGTGTCGTGCCACCCGCAGTGTAGGGTACCGTAGTTGCCTGTAGTTACCATAATATATTTGAGCAGAAGTCTTTATTTTCCGTATTGGAAATTAGAAAACCCAATCAATATCATGTATCTTAACTAAAATACCTAAATCAATGTCAAACTACATCTTAAACTCAAAATCAATTAGATAAAAGAAATTTAAATACGAATGATAACCGCCGTTTTTTCTATTTCCTCCCAGGCGGGGGAGAGGTTGAGAAAACCTCATAGATATCCTACGGCCAGCCGGCTGCAAGGTTATGACAGACTTTTACTGACTAAAACACACCCGTAGTTCATCCTTATGGCCAGAAGGGCCTTGCAAGCTTCATCTGAAGCGATCATCCCCTGAGGAGTGGATGATGCGGTATACCCGCCGATTTTTTTTTTTGATTCCTCCTATAGGCGGGGGAGCGGTTGAGAAATCCTCATGGATACCCTACAGCCCGGCTGCAGAGTTATGTCAGACTCTTGCTGACTAACAAACACTCGTTGGGACTGTCTCTGGCCGGGAAGGCCTTTAAGGCTTTATCGGATGCGATCGTCCCCTGAGAAGGGGATGATGCTGCGCTGCCTAGTGATAACTAGCACATATGCGCTTTTTTGACGAGCGGCTCCCTATTGGAGCAGGCCCGTATCGGTTTGTTTTTTTTTGTTTCCTCTCAGGCGGGGGAGCGGGTGTGAAATCCTCATAGATACCCTACAGCCGGCTGTAGGTTTATGTCAGACTCTTACTGACTAAAACACACCCGTGGGCGATACCTATGGCCTTAGGGGCCTTACAGGCTTCATCTGATGCGATCAACCCCTGAGAAGGGGATGATATCGGTTTGGTTTTCAATTGCTTATTTATACTTTTTATTAAAACGTAACGTTAGCGCGATTCAGAAGCCGTTGCCGTTGGTACTCGCGGTAGCGTTGTGGAACTAATGATATTTCATTGTGGTTTTCAAATAGTATATTTAGTTGCAATACAAGGTTTTACGCTGCAATAACTTCCATCTATTATTTTTTCTTTAACAAAAGTTGAACGACTAAAAAACAAACAAAAAACTACTTTATACTCTTAAACTAACAAATCTATTTTAACCGTTATAGTTTTCTAAAAAAGTTCATGATAAGCACTATTATCATGATTTTTTCCAGGTTTTTTCAAATGTCCCCATTTGTGTGCATATCCTCCCCTCCTGCAGAAAATGGCAGAATGATTTGGAAATTATTATGTCGCAATATATTGTTTTAAACTTTCATGGTCACTCACTAACATTATAGTAATATAAGTTATTTACGGGATTGTTACCATGTACCTTGTTTTTAGCGAGTTTACGATATTTCGGCACTGTTGCAAGCGCCATGATCACGGAGTAACTGAAGTAATTGCGGGTAGGCTGTTATTGGCAGACATATTGCGTTCGATACCCGTACCACTGTTCACATTCTCACTATTCGTTTCTGTTCACGAACAGTGGTACGGGTATCAACCGCAATAAAAGACTTCGTCGGAGGGTAGACCGATATGTCTGCCAATAACAGCCTACCCGCAATTACTTCAGTAACTCCGTGATCATGGCGCTTGCAACAGTGCCGAAATATCGGGATCTCGCTAAAAACAAGGTACAGGGTAACAATCCCGTAAATAACTTATATTACTATAATTATTATGTCGCTATGGCTACTCCCTTCCGTGTTCCTCTATGGTTCCTACAAACTTTTGTGAAGCCTTCGGTGGGCGATCTCAAACACGCACTTGTACAGTGTTTGATTATTATATATTAAACTAGCTGACCCAGCGAACTTCGTACCGCCCCAAAAAAATAGGGGTTGTCCAGCGGACAAAATTGTGAATCTAAATCATTCTCAGATCCCCTTGAAGACACACAAAAAATTTCATCAAAATCGGTCCAGTCGTTTAAGAGAAGTTCAGTGACATACACACTCACAGAAGAATTATATATATAAAGATATTCACTGTTAGGCCTATTGAAAAGAAAACAACTATTGGACTTTACGGACTGTATCATAATTTATATTAAGTTGTTGGACGGTTCCAAAATTAACTTTTTTCCTTAAAAAATACTGTTGGGTGCGAGTCCAAGGCAGACCAGGGGTTCCGTACATCTTA